TAATACTAAACCTATAAATGTAGGCTCATAGATCTATTTCCCCATCCTCATATAATATATTTGCATATGGACTTGTACAACTCTTATCACGATCCATATATACGCCCATTGTGTCATGTACATTTGTTGCCATCATCATTCTCAAAACATTTACTTTCTACTTGAGCCCTTGGTATCAGCTCCTCATTTTCCCCCCTCCCTCCCTGCCCCCTCTCCCTCAGGAATCCTTGATAATTTATAAATTATTGTTATTTTGTCATGTCTTACACTGTCTGACATCTCCCTTCACCCACTTTTCTGTTGTCCACCCCTCAAGAAGGAGGTTATATGTAGATCCTTGCGCTCCTTTCCCCCTTCCTCCTCTCCTTCCTCTTCCCCTCCTGGTATTTCCACTCTCATTATTGGTCCTGGATTCCCTATGTTTTGGATAACTTTTAAGAAGTTGATTTGTAAGCTTTGTTATTGATTTCTAGTGAATTTAGTTGGAAAATATTCCATTCAGACCCTATAGCGTTTCCTTGTTGACTCCTTTATGGAGGTTATACTGAAACCCATTATATGATCTGTTTGTAAATAACACGTGAATTCTTGAACAGAAGTTCTGTTCTCTCTGTAAGCATTAGCATGTATCTAGTAAGTACATGATATTTTATAGTATATGCATACTTAATGTTTTTTCCCTATTTGATTAGAACCTGAGACAGGTTAAAATCTGCAAACACTGTTTCCGTCTGTCATTTCCTCCTTTGAAGTTGCTCGACTCATGCATTTTTAAAATGACCATTGTGGCCCACTTAGTGGTTTTCCTTTGTTTATGAACATTCTACTTTGTTGCTTGAATATTATTTTTAGAATAACATCTTTTTTGTTTATTTACATTCCTTTCTTATGTCTGTTCATCTTGTTATTTTTAAGGTTACTGAGTCATTCTGTTTTAGGTGTTTATCTCATAACATACAATTAGGTTTTGTTTATTTAGACAATCTGAGGACTTCTCTCTATTTTATCCCATTGATACTTACCGTCACAACAGAAGTATGTTTTTCTTACTCTTGTCATCGTTATTACAGTTGTAATGCATCCATGCTATTCTTTAAAGTGTACTTGCTGTGTGTGTCTTATTTCTCTTGACATTTTATTGATTTTGTTATCGTTGACAACATACCCAACAAATCAATAGTCCCATGTGTCCAATTCTGCCATTGATGACACTCTCCAAGCGGCGTTACCATTTCCACCCTCTGCCTGTCCTCATTCATGTAGACTCATATGCCCCACACATTCTGTCTGGTCTGTAGACTTGCTATTGTCAGTTTGATCTCACACAGACCATTCTTAACAGAGCATACTGCTAAATGCAGGCAGTCTTCACTCCAGGGCTCAAGTAGAAAGAAACGGTTTTGAAAATGATGGCAATGTATGTACAAATGTGCTTGAGACAATTGGTGTATGGATGGTTGTAAGAGGTGTACAGCCCCCAATAAAATGACTTTTTTTTTTAACGAAAAATTTTAGGGGATTTCAGGAGGTAAATTTGGTTAAGATTTTAAGAATTAATAGTGTACATTAGAGAAATATTAGACAAGAACCTACTGCCAAAGGATAGTAAAACTGTGAGAAGCCCAAGCTTGTACATAGGTCAAGGACAAGGATAAAGAGTGAGGTTGGAAATAATAGAGGAAAAGGAGAGGGAAAGATACCCAGGACCGCCCCCCACAACAAACAACAACAACAAAACCCAAAGCCAAACTCAGTGCTATTGAGTCAATTCTGATTCCTGTGGACCTGCCCCTGCCCAGCGGTAGAAGTGCCCCTGTGAGTTTCAGAGTACTCTAAATCTTGAGTAGAAAGTCTCATCTTTCTCCCTCGGAATGGCTGGCGGGTTCAAGTTGCTGATCTTGAGGTTAGCAACCCAACACATAATCACTGTGCCACCAGGTTTCCAAAGAAGGTGGGTGGGGATCAAGAGCAGAAGTGAGCTTCCTAACAAGGAGGTGGAGGTAGGTGTAGCTGTGGGTCAGATCGATGGGTAGTAAGTTAGAGCTCAGCCCATCTCTTGCCTGGCCTCTTCAAAATATTCAGGGCAGAGTCTATTGGGAGTGAAGGGGTAGCTATTGAAAGAGGACATTTGTGTGAGATGCAGGAGTGGAGAAGGCAGGTCTATGATGAGCTTCACAAAGACAGGCTTTTTTCTTTTTTGTCGTTAGTTTTTGTTGTTGTTGTTTTGTTTTCTTTTATTGCTTTGTTTTGCTGTTTTTTTGTGTGCATATTATTATCCCTGCAGGTCTATCTAGATTAGATAGGCGGGATAAACAATCTGGAGGAGAAAACAATGGGACCAACTGTTCCTGGGGGACATGGGAGAGGAGGAGGTGGGGGAAAGGAAGTGGGTGTTAACAACTCCAGGGACAAGGGAACAACAAGTGATCTAAAATCAATGGCGAGGAGGGTGTAGGAGGCCTGGTAGGGCTTGATCAAGAGCCATGTAATCTAGAATAATTACTGAAACCAAAATGAAGGCTGAA